GCTTCGTATGGAGAAGATGGTGAGGAGGACGCATACGGAAGTTGGATTAGAGGGCGATTGAGAAGAAGTGTTCCACCCATCGGGACATTTTTTCCTGCGCATCAGAAATGAGCTCACTGGAGGCGCTGCGCAGCATAGAGTGAGTGGCCTGTTTCTTGCCCGATACTGATCGAATAAGTCGGAAGAGGGTTGCCTGTGTTGCCCAGGTTGTCTGCTGTCTCCATTTTTATAGCCATTTCATTCCAGTAGTTACATCTATCGTTTCTGGCTGNNNTGAGATCGCGATAAGCAGAGGATTGAACTAGGCGGGCCTCTCTGGCCGCATTAGATAACTGGATGGTGTGGCCGGATATCCAGTCCTTCAGACGACGTGATCTAGTGCATAGTGCTTGTATAGCAGCTTGTTGTACTGACAACTCCATCCTGATCCACTGAGTTTCAACCGAGCTTCCTGTGTTTTGTTGTGTACCGAGAGGATCGTTTGACAGCTGTGCAGTTGTCATGCCCACTAATGTCTGGCATTTCTCGCTGTTCTCCAGTGGAGGCACATTTAGGCGTTTTGAGGGACGGTCTTGCTAGTTGTTGGATGGAGTCTAACTTTTGCGCGAACTGGTACGTGATCAGATCCGTTTTTGTTTCCGCATTCAACCCCGTTATAGGATCGACACTCTTCAATCGAAGAAATCCACCGTGAACGGACGAGAACGTAATCTATTTGATGTGCCGTTCGGCCGTCGTTGGAGTACCGCGTTAGAAGATGCTTTTTTGGATGTTGAAACCGCGTGTTGGCAATACACAATCGATTATATTCGGCAAAACTGAGTAGTCTGTCACCGTTCTCGCAGCGCTGACCCAGGCCAAACCTCCCTATGATGTGCTTCGTGGCCTCTGCTTGTGGACCAATTAGAGCGTTCCAGTCCCCTGCTATGAGAAGTACATGCCGTTTAGGTATTTCATTAACAAGTGCTTGAAGGCTGCCATAAAACTCATCCTTGACGTTGTTGTCAGATGGGAAGGTCAGGGCGTAGACGGCGATTAATGTGAGGTTTACCGGATGACCCTTCAACCAAGCTACTGCAATCCTAGAGGATATTGGTTTCCAGGAAAGTAAAGCACTATTAGCCCGATGGCTTAAAGCAAGTGCCACTCCGTGTTGACCCGAAGTTTCGTTGCCGCTGTGATACAGCCAATAATGGCTGTCAATACCGGGGATTTTTATACTTTTGGAGCCAGAGTCCGCCAACCTGACTTCTGAGAGGCATGTAATATCCAGCCGATAGTCATGCAGCGCGCGTAACGTTAGTGCCTGGCTCCCGGTATCTAAGAGTGTTCTTACATTCCAGCATCCAATGTAAGAAGTTTTGCGTAGTTTGAGATGTCCAAAGCGCATACTTGTCACCCGGGCCACTGGAGGAGCACAGGGCGCGTCGCTTCTCGGGGACACCGTAGTTCAGTTCAGTTCTTACAACCATTAACCATGCACTTCCGTGCGCCGGTTTTGGTTGCCCATTTGGAT